AATCCCTCCACCACGGTAAAGTGGCAGCCCAGGGAGAGGTAAAAAATCGAATTAAATAAACAAAAATGTTATCGATTTCAGCCATCTGCCATCAAGTGGACCGAAAGTAATTTAACTAATTGAAAATTCAAATGTTCATTTAATGGCCATTATTCTGAGATGGGTCAGGTGGATTGTGAAGTGCCACAGGGCAGCTGTTTGGCCCCTCTTCTGTTTTTAATTTTTATTAATGATTTACCATTGGTTTTAAAACATGCAACCAAATGCAGATGACTACATTGTTTGTATCTGCACAAACAGAAGGCCAGTTGAGGGATATTTTAAAAAAGGAGTTGGCCTTCATCACACAAAGGATTGGAGCTAACAAGCTAGTTGTAAATGCAGAAAAAACTAAATGCATGATAGTTGGAACAAAATACACATTACAGGTGACACCTAGACTGCATTTGATGCTAGGTAATACAGAGGAAGAACAAGAAGAAGAAGCAAAATTATAGGGGGTAGTTGTGGATTCTGTATTGTCATGGACTGGTCAAATAAATCATATCTTGCATAAACTTGGTAGAAGCTTGGGCACAGTCAAATATTGTTGTAAATGTATTCCTCGGTAGCTGATTGAAAACTTAGTTCAATTCTTAGCATTGTCTCATTTAGATTACGCATCAGTTATTTGGTATAACACAAATGAATTTCATTTGCATAAAATACAAGTGGCTCAAAATAAAGCTGCACTAATTGTTCTGGGTTGTAATTACAGAACAAATGTAAGAACAATGCATGACAGGATGGCTTGGTTAACAGTGAAATGTGTACTAAAATATTCACTGACAACATTTATAAGAAATATAATAACTACAACGGTACCTAGAATAATAGTTATCTTCTTTTTCAGACAATCACAATTACATGACGCGACAGACACATGACATAAGATGTGCTCTACTCCGCTGCAGAACTAGTCAAATGCAAAGAGCTAACCCTTGTAAAACATTTGTAATAAAAATAGAAGAAACTTCAGGAAGAAAAGCTCCACATTATGGTGGGAGCTAATGAGGTTCTCGATAAATAAATACATAAGGGGCTAATATTAGTCAGTCCCAGAGGAAGGGAACATAACATTAATACATTGATATTTATATGTAGCATAACTGATAATAAATCATTATTAAGTCATCAAGTAGACTCATTTGGTGTATTTAAGATCTGAAATAATTCATGAAATAATAAACATTTATGTTGATTCATTCATTACTGTAAAGCAGTCAAGATATTATTAAATCACTTTAGATAAAACATTAATGGTAGATCATGTAGAATGTGGTTGTAATCAACTTGTGAGGTTAGGAAATCATTTATGAGAAAGAATAAGATTCTTTGTTAAGGTTAAGAGTTCTGTCCTTTGTCTGGAGTCTTCTGATTTGAAGCACAGATTCTGTTGACTTTATCTTCCGGTGGCGAGGTCACAAGCAGTATGTTTTCTGGTTTGGAGACCCGACAGTTCACCTGTGACACACTGATGAAGCAGGCTGTGGACGGTGTTTTAACCTTTGCATTCGGTGGCCTTCTCCACCACTACCCGATGTTCAGTTAGAATGTTCTCATGGATATCTGGAATGTTAATTTCTACTAGGAATAGAATCATAGATCTCTGGAACACATATCCAGTCAGTCTAATAAATGTCAAAAAGGCCACTTTAGGTTTTTCACGATCCTGAGATATCTCTAGCTTAATTCCTACTAGTGTGGTTGTTAATATGGAGATCATTAATTATAATTTTTATAGTAACAACTAGGGATGAGCCATATCCGGTATGGATAAAGCATTTTTGACAAATACGAGCATGAAACGAGTAAAACTCATAAATATCTGTAATCGTGCTGAAGGAAAATCCTCATTGGGTAACTGACTGTCTTCATGCTCTGTGATTGGCCAGTCACATAGAGCGCCCGCCCCTCTCTACACACAAAACTCTGCAGCCGGGAGCTCAGTCCGTCCGGCCCATCCATGCACACACACAGACAGTAACGGTGTCGGTACAGGATCTGCTCGGGTGCAAGATCGGCTCGGGGTCTGTCGACTGCCGATGACGTCAAAGTAGTTGATTGGCTGAACATGAACCTTTACGGAAATTACGCAATCACGTAACATTGTTATCACGTTACGTTGGTCCAGGCAAATGTTTCTGTTGGAAAGATGAACAACTTTCACAAAGAAATCCATCATTACCTCTTTGAAAATACACTTTTAGCATAGAGCTGCATGTATATTAGGGCTGAACGATTAACTGCATGTGCAATTAAATTGCGATGTGACAAAAGGAGATTTTCTAATCGCAAAGGCTGCTACTTGGCAGTGAGTGATTAGCGCAATGCTAATATACATGGAAAAACCCATAGGAATGCTAATGCTAATATCACCGATTACATTCTTACAAATTATGAATTAGAAACGTGCCAAATGATTACATTTGGAGTCTAATAGAAAGTAAAACTACCATCAATCAAATAAGCACAGACAGGTATTTTAGTAAAGCCAGAAAACTTTTAACTCCAGAGTTTTGGCTAGCAGCTATCAACGTAACTGAACTACGCATGGACAAGACGTCAAAAACTCTAAACACAAAATACTTCAATAAACGGGAATGGTAAAAATGGTAAATGGCCTGTATTTGATATAGCACCTTCTAGAGTCCTGGAACCCCCCAAGGCGCTTTACAACACAATCAGTCATTCACCCATTCACACACACATTCACACACTGGTGGGGATGAGCTACGATGTAGCCACAGCTGCCCTGGGGTGCACTGACAGAGGCGAGGCTGCAGAGCACTGGCGCCACCGGTCCCTCCGACCACCACCAGCAGGCAACGTGGGTTAAGTGTCTTGCCCAAGGACACAACGACAGCGACAGACTGAGTGGGACTCGAACCTGCAACCTTCCGATTACGGGGCGAGCATTTAACTCCTGTGCCACCATCGCCCTTACACACTTCTTTCCTGCAAATACAATTTCACAGGTGTTGCTAATACCTATGATCCTTCAAGCGATGTGCTCAAAGAGGAGTTCAACATTATGAATAAAATAGTGTTTTATTTTACAAATACCATTATAAACACAAACTTACGTCGTAAGAAACATTATTTTAATAACGAATCTGCTGAATTCTTTCCAACAGTATAGATGTGTGGTGTATTTTGTCCGAGTGGGTTTGCCGTACTTTGATGTCATCGGCAGTCGAAGGACCCCGAGCAGATCCTGTACCGACTCCGGATCTCTCTGTGCTTGCTTCACTGATGCTCACGTTTCTTCAGTGCTCCCTTGGCTTTCTTCTGCTCAGTTTAATATTTAAGTTACTTTCTTCGTAACGATGGTGCATCTGACAAGACAGAGCTTAAAACGACTAGTGCTGCGTTGGTCGCTGCCTCCGCTCTGGTCGTTATTTATTTTTTATTTTTTAAACACTCTCTCTCTCCCCCTCCCTCTCTCTCCATCTCTCTCCATCTCTCTCTCTCTCTCTCTCCCTCTCTCTCTCTCTCTCACACACAACATTGTTTTTTTTAACTGTGTGTGGGAAGAATGGCAAGAACGTTAAGAAAAAATCAGTTTAATCAAATCAAAATAAAAAGAAAGTTGTGTCTGGTTCTAGAATTTCATATTTCCTAGTTCCTACTGCACGAGTTCAGATGTATTAATCCATGCACTTAAATATTAATGTTCTGATTTTATTGAAACACTTGTTCTGTAATACTTCCTTTACTATTGTGATCAAAAACATTTCATCTCAACTCTGAGGCTGCTCTGTAAATAGTTTTCAAATAAACAATACACATAGCAACTTCTGATCAGTCCATATCAATGTCAGACTTAAAATAATGTATTGATATAAACCACACCCACTTCCGGTTAAACTACACCCACTTCCGGGTTAGGCCACGCCTACTCTGAGTACAGATATTGGTGTTCTCGCTCATCCCTAGTAACCACATAGCTGTGGATCTCTTCATTTGCAATTTTGACTTATAAGAATACTTTAGTACTAGGAAAAATGAAGTTATTGTTATATAAAAAGAAATTACAGCGGTCCGATTGTTGATTAAATGTTAAAACGGCTTGCCTAGCCATCTCACTCCCTGCATGTCCTGTTTTCACTCAGCTCCTCGCCTTTCTGAAACGCTGCTTATTTTTCTTTTCTTTACTTTTTACTGATCTGTCTCCACCAACATTTCAGGTCCCGTCATGTTAATGTATGAATTGTTAAGTTTTTTGCTTTGTCATTGTTTTAAATCATGTTCTTGAGCCCGTATGTGCTAAAACAAACCTTTACAGGCTTAATAAAATGTCACTCAAACCCCACTGCCCTCCGTGGCCAGATTATCACACTTGAAAGCTCAGAGTTGCCGGTCTATGTTTATGTTTCTGTTTATTTGACATTTCAGCTGTTAGATGAAGGTGTTTACCAGACAGACACACAGCAAGCAAACAGGTTTCATTCTGAGGTTAGCCATGGTGAACGGACACTAGGGGGTGCTAAAAGCAAAGCTTGCAGCCTTTTTAATGCTTTTTTATTTGGGTTGGTATCATGAAAAAAGAATTGTATCTACAAACAAGAAAGTTTAAAATATTCCACATGAAGACCTGACCATCTGATATTATTTAGGAAAATTTTTTGATGCTTTAATGTTTTATCATCTATTAAGTTCGGCTAGTTTAACATGAAACGGCAACTAACAAGTTTCTATTGAAAACGTATTTCCTCTGAGGACATGAAAGGCTGTAATCCCACAGAGATCATCATCTGAGATTACGTAGGTATTTTGTTGATGGCACATGGATTTTTCAAGAGATTGTTAAACTTTGTTAGAAATGTATGAAATTGTTTAATGGTTTATTTATTTATTTGGGTACCAGAAAAACAAAGACATATTTAAGGGGGCCTGCTGAGGTGGGCTTGGAGCCCAGTTCATGTTTGTAATCCTCATAACTTTTATTTATTGCACAGATCCTGCGGTTCACCGGTGAGTCAGACCTGAGCACCTGGCAGGAGCAGACCTTAGGGAACTACATAGTGGAGAATGGCCAGAACCATCCGGCACTGAGGGATGAAATCCTGGCCCAGTTGGCTTACCACACATGGGGCAAACATGAGGAGGAGGGCAGTTTGAGGGGGTGGCTGCTACTGGCCTGCTGCCTTAGTGCCTTCACACCCTCACCAACTCTGGAGAAACCACTGCTCAAGTAAGTGATTAAATTCATATTTCATATTGTTTAGCATGAGCATGCCCTCTGTTGTCCTGCAGGAGGCGCTACCAGTGCACATTGTGATGTCTACTAGACTTAACTGCTGATTTTTAGGGGAAGTATTCCAAGTATTTAGAGTACAGCACCAGGATTATGCAACTTTACAAAATACATTTTAAAACAGGTATTCAGCATTCTGTAACTAAATACTTTGACAAAGTATCCTCCCCATCACTGCCTGGAAGTTTCTGCTTCTCTTTTAGGGAATATTCTCCAGGGATTTTCCTGCGTTTAGATTTGGTGGCGGCCGCCTCCAGCTAATTTTGTGCCGCCCCAGCCTGTTTTCACTCTGCCCCCAGCTATATGGATGTTATTTTCACTGCAGTTGCAGCGTTGCGCCACTACAGGGCGCTGTATCAGCAGCGGTGCACCGAAAAGCGCTAAAACCGCTGCAGCAAAAGATCACAAGTTGCTTTTCTCGCTAGTTGGTACATTTCTGTGGTTGGTGCTATTGTAGGCTGTCCATACGTCCTCTTTCCCCCGGACATGTCCACTTTTCACCCTCTGTCCTCCTACATGGATCAAAATGTCCAGTTTTTCATCCAGGAGCAGGGATCGAGTTATGGGGTCTAGAGATCTGTCAGGGAAAGATCCAGTTTCTGCCTATATTGCAGTATTTATGGACTCTCAGCGTAGCGGGGTTCTGTTGAGCGGAGGACGCAGAGCGCTGATCGTTGGTGCGCCCGCTGCATCCGGCGTACGATACATTCTCAAGGTGTCACTACAAAACCTTATTATTAACACATGATCGTTCATATCTGTTTACATCCTCTGGTACTCTGTCTTTTAATCGTTCCTGACGCACTCCGCTCATCGTGTGCTGCGGTGATGTCACCTCACTGACGCAGCATCGAAACGCGCTCTCCGCTCTGCGGTCAGGAGATCCCTTTGGTCTGCTCAGAAGTAACTGATGAGGTGAAAAAGTAAGAATCCAGGCAGCAGATTTTCTGGAGAGTTTAGAGGAGATGCAGGAAGATGAGAGACAGACAGGACAGGAAATAGTTCAATAAAAACAAGAAAACAAAGTAAAATGTAGGTAGATTTATCTCCACTACACGTTTTTACCTGTATAAAACAATAAGTTATACACATGTCACATTTATACATCTGATACCATTCAGATCACCTTCAACACTCACTCACACACCCAGGGCCGTACCAAGGCATTCTGGGGGCCAAGGCAAAACGGACCACCCCCTAACCCGTACATAACAGACATGCCACCGTTACATTGTTAGCAGCAGAAATTAAATGTTATTAGCATTTCCAACACAAATGCATGTTAATGAAATGCATTATATGTTACTGCATATATTTATGTGTTGTTGTGACTAAGATGAGTTATTAATACAAACCTAACATGTTACTGAAATGTAGGTCAAATATTAAAAATGGTTTTTAACTATAAATATCAGATGGAAAAAGGGAACTAAACACCAATCTAATGCTTATTATTGAGCCTTTCATCATATATGGCCTTTACATAAGTGAGGCAGTTGAATGCAGAGTGCATGTGCTCGTGCACGGTCAGGATGGTACCCCCTCTGCCTCAGTGTGAGCCAGGAAAAGCCCCGTTCTCATTTGGAAAGCAGTCCTGATCATGTGGTTTCAGACCCAATCAGGATCGCGGGGGCAGCAGCCTAAGCAGGGAGATCCAGATTTCCTCTCCCCGGCCACTTGGGCCAGCTCTTCCGGGGGAATCCTGAGGCATTCCCTGACCAGCTGAGAAACGTGTCCTGGGTCTTCCTTTGGGTCTTCTCCCAGTTGGACGATCCTGGAAAACCTCACCAGGGAGGCGTCCAGGAGGCATCCTAACTAGATGCACGAGTCACCTCAGCTGGCTCCTCTCGATGTGGAGGAGCAGCAGGTCTACTCCGAGCCCCTCCCAGATGATGGAGCTTCTCACCCTATCTCTAAGGAAGAACCCAGCCACCCTTCAGAGAAAACTCATTTCAGCCGATTGTATCCGTGATCTGATGGTGAACACAACTTGGCCAATGAGCTTAATCTGTTCTTCAAGAAGTTGGACCCCGCTCCCCCATATCTGCAACAGGCACCACCACACGCCAACCCTCCACTCAGTCAACCAGCCTCTACCATCCCCTAGACTTACACCACTCCACATCTTCTGCCCCCACCATCCCCATGGCACCACAACCTCCCTCGCTCCCTACATCAGAGCGGTGAGGACAGAACTGATGTGGCTTAAGAGCGAGAAAGCTGCAGGACCTGGCAGGATCAGCCCCAGACTGCTGAGTCTGACCAGCTTTGTAAAGTGCTCATGAATATGTTCAACCTGAATGTTTGATGGAAGCAGGTTCCCGTCCTGCGAAGGCCTACTGTCTGATTCCAATTCCAAAAGCATCACATCCCAGGGAACCAGACCACTGCTGACCTCTCACCTGATGAAAACCATGGAGAGACTCATGCTCACCCACCTGTGATCTGTGGTGAGCCCAGAGAAAGACTCACTACAGTTAGCATACACACCAAGCATGAGGGAGCGTTCATCTACCTGCAGCACCAGGCTCTGACTCACCTCAGGATGCAGAAATGAACTGAGAATCACATTCTTCACCTTCTCAAGTGTCTTCAACACCCTCCAGCAACCTTCACTGCAGCAGAAGATGACGGGTGAAGGAGTGGACGAGCACCTGACTGCATGGACCACCTCACCAACAGGCCACAGTACGTGTAACTGTACATCTGATGTGGTTGTGTGTAGTACTGGAGCTCTGCAGGGTGCGGCGCTCTCACCCTTTCTCTGCTTCACCTTCTACACCTCCACAAGTTCTCTGATGACTCGGTGATTGTCGGCTGTGTCTGGGGGATGACCTGGAGTACAGGTCAGTCATCAAGAGACTGAACAAACTAGTCAAGAAAGCTACCTGGGCTTTGAGCTGCTCAGACAGAACCTGGTCCGTCCAGAAGACAAACACCCCAACAGAAGCTCAGCGGTGTTGTTTATGCAGTCCAGTGCAGCGAGGACTGTCCAGATGTTTACACCGTGGAAACTATAAACAACAAGTACACAAACACATGGCACAACACAGGAGAGCCACCTCTCCAGGTCACGACTGCAGTCCACCTACACCTGAAGGACAAGGGACACATTCTGAGCAGAGACGATAGATGGGGAGAGGAGTGGAGGAAGCTGTCTATGTCTAATGTGGAAAACCTACTTAAAATAGGGGCGGGGCTTAGATTTCACCTTTCCAGTACCTATAAGCAGTTTCAGTCGAGGTCACACCGCCCTGTGTCTGATCAACACGACGACTCCCTCTCAGTAGAGGCCAACGACTCATCGGGGATGGAGAGGAGGGGTACTCAGAGTAGTGTCTGCTCGTTAAATAAGAACAGACAGCTACAGCTGATAAGCCTGACTCTCCCAGTCAGAACTGACAAAGCTCCTCGGGTGAGAAATGAAACGTCTTCAAGAACCCAAAGAAGTCCAGCTGCCTTCATCTGAACCCTTTGGGAACGCAGAGTGAGACCTCTCCCGTTTTTGTGCGGCCCACGGTTACAACAGCCGACGTACTGTTGAAGGCTGGTCAGGTGGGATTACTGCTGACTCTTCTAGCCTACCAGACAGCATCTCATATTTAACTTTAGTTTTATCCATTTTAATTATATTTATTGTTTAATGACCACGCCATACCTTGTGTCTGATTTAGTGAAAGAGCTTGATAAAATGTGTTTTTTAGGTGGGCAAGCACTGTCCTCAGTAGAAATGAATGCATGGGGGCGAATGGAGACCCATCTAAAATGGTGGCCAGCCCGTACGGCAGCTCCACCAGGCAGCATCAGTGCTACGTACACACATCTGTGGACAGAACGAGCACACCTCATGATCCTTTAGTCATTTCTGAGTCACTGGTGCATAATAATCTTTCATAAAACCGACGATGATGTGACTTCAGAACGTTTTCCATGATCTATAAATTATTATCAAATGTGGAAGTGAGTGTTTGTCATCACAGCTTCTAAAGAAGAGTTGTACATATTAGCTAATGCCTTGTGAATCTGTTAGTAAATGTCAGTGTAAACGTTGTAAAGGTTTCCAAACATCATTATCTGTTAATGATTAATGAGACACTGAACACGTACACATGGTTAATAACAAGACATTATAAAGTGTTACCTACAACTCGGTGTGAAGTGAAAAATGAGTCAGAGATAAAACTCTGCGTCATCCACTCGGGCTGGTGCTCGAGCGCTGGAGGGCATTCAGAGTGAGAAGCAGGAGGCGGAGCCTCACACAAGTAGAAAGATTTAACGGTGCAAATATAAAAACAAACGTTTAGACATCTCTTGTGTCAGAGCCATCTGACGAGGACACAAAAGGTGTTGAAACGTTCCTGTTAGTTATGCACACTGTAGCGTAAGAAGGCCACGGAGTGCAAAGGTTAAGACACCGCCAGCTTCATCAGTTAACTGTCTGCTTTCCAAACCAGACCACACACTGCTTCTGACCTCGCCATCTACAAAGCCGTCCTAACAAATCCTCTTCGGCTACCTCATCTGTTCTGCAGTCACACTGCGAGACAAGTACCGGTTACAGTAACAGAATAAACAACCAGGGCGCAGCAGCGCGCCGCGGTCTCCAGCAGAGGATGGCGGTGTTTCAAACCCTCCCAGCGGGACAGGGGAGCTCCTTCCTGGGTCAGAGCTGCCCGGCCCACAGCAGCTCGCCACATGCTCCAGCAGGTGATGGCGGGGCGGAGGAGCTTAATCCTGGTCCGGAACCGGCCCGCAGCAGCGCGGTATACATAATTTGGTATATAAGTCGCTCCGGAGTATGTCGCAGGACCAGCCAGACTATGAAAAAAAGTGTGACTTATAGTCCGGAAAATACGGTACTTAATAGTACACTTGCTGTAAAATCCCCCCCCCCCACACACACACACTTGAAACCCACTTTTAAAGGGACAGCTGAAAGCTTTGATTGTGTGGGTTTTATTTGTTGTCCTTTTATTTTTATGTCATCTTTAGTTTTTTATCTGTGCAGCACTTTGCTCCGCTGTCGTTCTGGTTTTAAACACAGCTGGCATGCTAAGTTCTCGTATATTGGAGACAAAGAAAATCTAATAGTGTGACAGCCTGACAGAAACACACGTCTTTGTGAAACTCCGGGGGGAATGAACCTTGTTTTTGTTTCTTCTGCTTTGATCAGGTTATCTTCAAGTGTTGTTTCTTGAATTTTCTGCTTGTTTTCTCGTAGGTTTGTCTCTGATCACGGTCCAGGAGATTATCGTTCACTGTGTCAACACAAACTCCTGACATCCCTGCAGCTCCCAGCTCCCACAGCTCGCATCTACCCACCCACCCAGCTGGAGTGGACCTCCATCGAGAGGAAAGGCACCATGCTGCTGGAAGTCACTACTTTCAATG